CCTAAATCACTCCAGCTTCGCCGCAAAAGTTGCGCGGTTAGGGCGCTAATCCTTACGGGCCTGCAACCATCGACCCCCGTTGCAACGCTTCCCACCCACCTCGATATCGGCGTGCTCTCTCGAACGGCGTGATCTCTCGCGTGTTTTGTCTTCTTTGACCGCCCTGCCTCGCCATCGTTCCACATCCGACCTTTTTGAAGGTAAGGCCTTAATTTCAGCGTTCCCAAAGATTTCTCTTGCTTTCCTTTCCACTTTCAGGCGTCCGCAGCTCAGTCATCACTACGAAGCGCTCTTATCACCGGTTTCATCCCGAGCTTGCCTTTATGCAGCGGTCTAGTTGAAGACGTCAGCGTTTGATTCAATTCCCTCCCATCTTGTGCTGGAATATGGACACCATTTGTTCACTTTACAAATAAGTTACTCTTCTCTAGAATCACCAGGATGGGTATTTCTCTAATGAAAAGCAGTAACTCTTCTCGCTTCTCAGGGGACTTTATACATTCACGTCCGTGGCTGGCAGACCATGAGGTGCTAGCTGATAATTGCCTACCATCCGTTCGTCGTAACTTTTTTTTGTATATTTTGGGTATCAAAATTATTAACGTCTCACAGATTACTGAAATTACTGCGTTCTATGTTTTTGTTCATTCTTTACACAAAGTCCACAGATGTGAGGTGGGGGCGACGGCAAAATAGCACCCATCGCACCAAAAAGCGAAAAAGAACCCCATTGGAGATTAAAGACAGCTATCGCGATAATTTCAGTGTTTATAAAAGGGAAAGATCACAGTGGAGAGGGTAAACACTTATCCGAAAGAGATGACAGGCGACTTTTTGTGGTAGAGACTTGTTACCAAAGGCATGATAAAGCATCAAAGACCTTCCTCCAACGCGTTCTCCCTTCAGCTCGACTCCCCCCCCCATCACTACAGGTGTGGGAGATATGATAACAGCAGCATCCTTGATATGACAAGGTTATCGTTATCATTCGATTTGCAGAGCGGTTTTCATAGCAACCAACAACGTCCTTAAAACAATCCCTATCTCTTCCAGGGCCACCGCTAGTATTCATATGTAAAGTCAAGGAGCATAAAAGCGGTTCACTTTTCGGGTTCTTGTCCATTCACCTGATACTGGGTACCCGAAGGGAGGCCCGACGCGCGGCAAGAAGGCATAGCCAGCGGATGAGTCGCAGCGTGTGATGTGCAGCGTAGGACGTACGATGCTACATTCTACCAACCTGACACGAAATCGTTATAGTACGCGGTGTGACTCGTACACTGACTCTGCCTTCATGTCGTGACTCGGGGCTCCGCTGTCGGTACCCTCCTGCCGTTCCTTCTCATCGACGCAACTCTTGACACCCCTACTTTCAGCTCTCATCAGAACCAAACATCGCGACCGCCGCTTTTAACTAAGTTATTATTGAAAACTCATAACTTCTCAAATGCCTACAAAAAGCGAAATATGTTATTCGACTACATCTTCTTTTATAGATCGTAAATTGGAAGCATTCCATGGATTGGATCACGCATTCATCTTCTCTAAGGATATAGTAGCAATTTCGAGATCCGACCCTTCACAAAGGAGGACGAGAACATGGCAAAAATCCTCACAAACATGATCACCAATTTCGCAAAAACTGGTGACCCTTCAACAACACGGTGAGGCGGAACAAACTTGCGAGATTGAAGACCATTGGCTCATTGAAGAGATAAATCTTACAGATTTAAATGGCCACCGTTCGGCGGCAACAAATCAACCGAGCATGTCTCCATCAACCTCCCACCGAAGTGAGTCATCAAATAACAATTACCTAATGCGTAATTCAGGAGTAACTTTACGCGGTCACCTTGCAGGATTATCCAAGGGGAACTTCACTGGCCTCATCCTAAATTCTGGAATGTTGAGGCAGAGCTGATTAGTCGACACGCCGCTCGTCCCTCACGAAGCCGAGAAGGTCTCCAGTTGAACTCCAGATGCTGACTTAACCAATGAAGAAAGAGTTCAGGTCAGTTACTCTTATCATGTGAATTTCCACCGTTTCCTGAGTGAAAGCCAGTAAATTCATGGGTCTTTTCAGCTGAGCGCGTATCGACGAGCGTGGTGGGCGTTATGGTTGCTGGTGGCAGTGCTAGCGATCGTAGTCTGGGGTATCGTCATATTATGCGGTCGTCTCAAAGGCCAGCAGTCCCCGAAACAAGCCCTACGATAACATCGTCATCACGCGATGACCCCTTGTCATGAGCTCTGCCAACAGTTGTTATTATTCATTTTTAAATATTCTCAATAAATTAATTATAATTATAGAGTTATAATAAAAATCATTGAAACAACATCCAAATTGAAAGGATTGTAATTTGAATAAAGCCGATGGCTAGTCACAGCTCGTCTCGGATCTGCTCCTCGCTAAACCGTTCCAAATCTGAAATATCAAGCCGATTGTATTGCCACATGGATCGCTCAAGAGAACTTAAATATAAAAAAACAGTTCAAATTCTGAACCAAGTTACTATTAAGGAAATAAAAAATAGATAAGGTACTCGATCAACGGATAAAAGCGGAAAAACCTTGAGACTCCTACTTTATGTGGAACATTTCATATCAGTGATGAGTAGTTTAGAGCACCGAAGATTTTGCGTTGATCATCCCCAGTTTGGATGCACCACAAACTCAACTAGTGTTCAAATGGATTTATCCCTTCCATGAATAGGGAGAGCTATTTATGGAGGTGAATGGACGTTCTCAAAATGCTCGACAAGCCGCTGACCGCTGACGTCTACTACCGTTGCTCGCGATGCAGTCGCATACGCGCTTGGTGTCTGGGTCTCCCTCGTTCCGTAACCCCTCGTATTTACGAGTCCTGTTCTACTATTTAGGCGTCCAGGATCTTTCGCATGTTACGATTACGTCCAAGTCTGAGTCTGAGAAAGTAACTATCTTCTTAGGTTGTTCTCTCGTACACCAGAGAAAAACAGGCCATCATTTTCAGTGTTTTCGATGGTCTCCCTTCCTAATTTTTCACTGACGATCCACATCGCATCCCTAACTAAGTGGCGGCTGTGGTGCCACTTTAGCGATCATTTCACAATAACGGATTGCTTGAATGGTCTAGACTGCATCTGATCGAAATTTGATCCCCGGTCCATGCGCGCGACAGTAGTGCCACTTCTCCGTGCCCACATTCGTCTATGAATATGCAATAATTATGTACCAAAAATTACTAGACTCCAAGGGAATGAGTTATTCAATTGAATGAATTCACAATCGAGGAACATTTAAAGGCAAGCTTCGGGATAAAATAGGTGATGAAGAGCATCCCCTAATGAAGCTGGAGGTGGGGAGTGATCTGGAAAAAACTGGAGAAAATCCCAACCGCAACCCCATAAGGACCTCCTCTATTTCAGCCGCATTCCACCTTGGGATAGAGAAGGGGCGTGTTGGACGAGTTTCACGAGCCTAGCTCCAGTTGCTCCAGTGCCAATGACATTGGATCGCAATGGGACCGCTGCCTCAAATGCGCCCGCGCTTTTCAAGCAGCGCCACGTGGCAACCGACAGCGGAAGGGTGGGGCTTGCGGACGAAGGTGTGAGTTGCGGGTCGGACGAGCTCCTTGCGCCTTTGTCGCGCACTTTCAAGCGCAAAAGGGGCGCGACATCAACGCTTGTCCGCCTGTCTACTACCTCCGGGATGGAACAGGTGAGCGCGCCTAATCCTGGAGCGTGCCTTTAAATTCGCCTTTGTTGTACATATGAATAAGCAGTAATAACTGACGAGAAAAGGCAGTTGAGCACTCAAATATCAAAAATCAACGTACACTTCTATGTAGGCCATGCAAGAATCATTTTCGACTCGTCTATTAACCGGACATTCTTAAAGTAGAAATGGCAAAGGTGACGGTATTGCACCGAACCTCGCTCCAACCGCCACGGCCAACAGAGCGCTCCGCATTTTCAATAGCCGCTATTTCGTACACCCGTCTAGGAGGATAACACAACGGCCTCAAAGTTGGTTGGCAGACGCTAAACCATTTTGAAGGTGGAATTCTGTTCCACTACAATTCCAAATGGAAGTTAAATCTTAGCGCATTCGAAAAATTGATCAACGCCAAAAGTTCTATCTTATATAATAGTGAAGATTCCAGGAATCAATTTACAAAATCTGTAATTTGGGAGACGCCTTCGTGGAAAACCTACACTTATGGAAGTGAGAGCTCATGATCAGTAAAGAACCCACTTTTTTGATACTACATGTGTGATTCTGACACTGATCCATGTCGCAATGAGATCGCTGCTGACAACGACTGCAGGCAAGTCGTGCAATGGCCTGCAATCGCTCTTCACGGGCAAGCGAAGCGAGGGCAAATCGGAATGTAGAACCGAATTCCGTACAACAAGAACACCATGGATCGCCACCTGCTGTCAAACATCCTGGGCTAGAATTGTGTCAGTACAACAATGAATGAATGATGCAGACTAAGCAAGACTAGGTGTTCCTTACGTAAAACAGAGCGATGTAGCGTCTGCGCGCCAGTTTATGGTGAGTGGAAGGAGATCGGTGACTCGTCGAAGAGCAGGAAGAATATGTACATGAGCGTAATAAGTAAAGTGAATCTGAAATCTCTTCTCTAAAAAAGAGGAGCGTACTAGAACAGCTCTATTTTGGCTGGAAATTGAGG